TTGCACTACAAATGTACGCTTACTGGCTAAATCGCGATGTGATTTATGGTAAAAAAAAGGTTGAGAAGCCTGAAGCTACTTGTAGAAATAAAGCAATGTGTATAAGAAATTCTGCATGGGTAATGGTCATGGGTAAGTTGTACCTTGAGTCAACATACCCGTCCTCATTGATGCCGGAGAATGGTGATGAAGAGTTTTTCCGGATCTGAACGGTGCACGGGACGGCTGAAGGCCATAACCATGGCGTATGGGACCGACTGAAATTTGGAAATTCACATCGCTATTCCTATGTCGGATGTCACGGCTGTGAATGTCTATACTGTTCAGGTGTGCGTGAACGGACTCGAAAAAGAGGCTAGATATGGATTCGGCCGAACCACGAATGTAAGTAGTAGAGAACTGGTCGTGAGTTCTTAAAGGCAATAATCACGAAGACTGGAGGGCGGTACGGTTTTGATGACGTCATTGGGCGTTATTTGTGGTCTCTTCAAAGGGTGACGCTCAATAGCGTCGCCAAACTCGCCACACCACCCCTGCCATCGTGGTCACCATCTTTGAAATCAGTTCCCACGGCGACACTATGTGCGGAGACCTGCGCACCACGTTGTCCCCTCATTTTTCAAAGCCATATGGACGGGAAAAGGTGCACTGTTTGGTTTTCTTCAGCCACACCAGAAGAGCCAAGGGTGCATCGGTTCCCGCCCATTTGCGATAAGCGTAGAAAATGTTGTAATCTCAACAATTTCGTTTTTGTTCTCTCCATTAGTAATCCAACAGTTACTGCGTAGCATGCATTTTTTAGAACAATTACCCACACACAATGAAATATGAGCCGTAAAAAAGGATAAGGATAAAGCATTTGCCGTTGATCAATCCCTTTTTGGGATGCGGCACGCATTCTACTTCCATTTGTACATTCGTAGTGGCGTTTGAATGCGATGTGGCCTATACAATGACTTGCGGGGGCCAGCCGATGTACAAGTCAGTGTTTTTATCCTCCCAGACAAGTCTGGTACCAATTAACCGACCCCGGAGGGATGGAAGGCTTGGTTGGCCCGGGCGACTCAATATACTCGGATATGAGCCTTTCTTTTAAATGAAATCGTTTTTTTGAACTGCAAGCTCAAACTTACATGGATCGTACTCATCTCCCCCAGGTGTTCTCTCCACTTGATCCACTTCAGGCTCTTGCTCCGTTTCACGCACCTCGACAATTTCGTATTGCTGTTTAGTCTCGACGGGCTCTTGTAGCGAAATCAGACGATATCTGTAAGGTTCAATTCACTTCGTGGGGAAGCATTCTACTCACGCTCGACCCGTTTGAGTTAGGCTTAAAGGAATCTTCCACGGAAAAACATCGCCTCCATTCCTACAAAAAACGATACCTTAGGCCCCTTGCTTCATGAAGATAGCAAAAAGAACGGAACATAGGCGATGGTTTTGATAATAATTATGATAACCAGTTCGACTATGAAAATTTTGAATTCCCGCTGTAAAACTTCCACAACTGTTAGCGGCGTGGAGTCAACACGTGCAAACGTGTCAAAAGCGTGAACGTGAACAGGATTCATGTTGGACCCTTCCCATAAACTGACACTTTGATCCGCACCTTCCATGCACTTCGCCAC